TTTGTTGGAAGAAAGAGTAGATTATAATTTTCGGTGGTCTTAATTCATCTTTTCCAAACATCACTCAATATCCTTATTGATTATTTTATTGAATTACTTTCCAGGCAAATAAAGTATTCAGCATTTTTATATTCAGATAAACTAGTTTGGTAAGCAGCGATAGTTGTCTATTATTTAATTTTGAATTCAAGGCGACAATCCATCAGTTATTAACAAATTGCTTGTCTCAATCTCTTGTTCTTTTGATCATGACTCATTTACGTACAAATCTTCATGTTGGAAAACAGATTGTAGATTTAAAAAATCCCTAACCTTTCTTTTCTGTTATCAGGAGTGGGCTGGAGCAGGAAGATATGAGGGTTATGTTCAAGTACCTGGTTACAAGTTTATTTCCATCAACGCTAGACACAGAGGTGAAAATCTCAGTTGTTATAGAGTTTATTAAAAGTGATTGAATGATAATATGTTCAAGATGTCCTTCAAAAAGTCTTATAATGGTGATGTCATATGGAGGAATGAACAATAGATAACTAATGAGAAAKCTTTTGTTCAAGTTCCTCTAAGATGGCTGACTGTGACATTTAGTGAAAATGAAGATTAAACTGTGTCAGGAAAAAATGTCTGTGCGAAACTTTCCATATTTTTAAATAGAGAATAACTTACACTGCACATTACCACCCCATCTTCCCATCAAAACCAAGTCATTGCTACAGGGGTTTCTTTAAATTTGGAAACAAGTGACTGTTGTGAAACWGCAGTAATGGGGATGTAAATCATAAGGGACCACAAGCATTGTAAACATGTATAAGCTGCCTTGTAATAAAATCCCTGGAATTGGATCTACTTTTGATAGATGATGACTAGTCCAAACAAAACAGAAAATTATACAATTATGGTATACTCTTAAGTAAAATACATGTTAGTACATGCATATGTACATGTAGACCTGTTGTTTAATTGGAAATTATTTTGAAAGTTGGTTTTCATTTGTTTGATAGTGCTCAGATAATCCAAAATCATCACAAGGCTATGTTGTAGTACAACCAAAATCACACCATGGCAGGTAGGTGAAGGTTCCGTAAGCAATAAAAGTGAAATAGTGAATGAGAATGGATAATAAATC